CATTGAGCGAGGTCTTCCAATTCGTCGGAAATCATGCGAACGACGACGCCGTCGCCGACGGCCGCCGCCTCGGTGAGCGTGCGGACATGGAGTTCGAAAATTCTTTCCACGAGTTGGATCAATTGATCGACCCGGTGGTCGTGAACGCTGTTCTCCACTGCAGGGAAAAGGCTGAACTGACCTCCGAAGCCCAACACGTTCCAAGGGTCGACGAGCGCCCCGCACTCGATGGCTCGTATCAGTAGATCGCGGGCGTTATGGGTTGCGTCGCAAGCGGCTTGCAAGTCGCTTCGCCCCAGGGCCTGGTGGCCTGCGGCCACTTCACCGTCGATCTGACAGGTCATGCGAGCAGAGGTCACCGGGACAATGTCGATTTGTCGCTTGCTGGCCTCTGGGTAGCCCATGCGGGCATAAAGCTGAGCGAGGTGAACGTGCTGCAGCTGCAAGGCACGACGACGGGCCAACGACTGGTTGAGGTGTTGCCGGGCCGCTCCGAATGGCTGTTGCAGTTGAGCCAACTCGGCTTTGAGTCGTTCACCATGTGACCCGGTGACCTGATTGATGAGCCGGTTGTAAAACTTGTCGCGTGTTTGGGCGATCTTGGTCAACAAAGTGGTGAGCGTGGTGTCCGAATCATGAGTGTCGGGCCCCTGCCCACTGACGCCGGCCGCCATGAGGATCACGCCGGCTAGTACGGCTCCGGATTCGTACAGTATTTCGTCTTGGGAGGCATTCGCTGGGAGCTGCTCGACGCGTTCCATCAGGGCGTCGAGCGTGACCTGCGTGACCACAAAGCGGCGATAGTGCCCGTGCTGGTCGATGTGGTGGGGGTCCCACTGACCGAAGTGGTAGTTGGGCCGCTTGTTCACTGGATTATCGAAGTCGTACGCCCGGGGGTCGAAGGCCAACTCGTCGAGCATATCCAGATCGAAGTACATGGCATCCAGCAAATCGGAACTGGTGCCGTTGAGAATCTCCAATGCCCTTTCGATCAGTTGCTCGTACCGACCGACGGCAACCCCTGCACCGCGCAAATACATCGGGATGGGGCGAACCCGTTCGTGGGGGTAAGGCTCGATCTTCTGTTCCGATTCGAGAACCGCGACGGGACGATGCCCGAGAAAATCGTTGAGCTGAACGAGGGTCGCTGAGACCAACTGCGAGGGATCGTCCCACACGGGCCCACGTTGCAACACCGCCTCGAAGACCCGGGCCAGAAAGAACGGCTGGAAGAGGACGCCATCGGACTGGTGAAACAATAGGTCGCGATGGTGTTTCCGGTAGGCTGGCAACACCTCGTCGAACACCAGCCGCAGAGCCGTTTTCGCCTGATCGATATTGTTGAACGCCGGCGAGGTGCCGTGAACTTCGGCCAGGTAGGTGTCGAGGACGGCGCGCAATTGGAGCCAGTCCTGGTCGCGGTCCTTCTGTTGCGACTGGATCAGCCCAAAGATTTCGTTTAGCCGGCGTTGGAACTGCGGATCGGGCACCCCGGAAGAAAAGTTGATGTAGCCCAGGATGTCGTCCAGCGCAGGACAAGCGGCCGGGCCCAAATCTGATGCTTCCATCAAGTGCCTCATGGCTGAGTCTGTCCGGCAGACAAATCGGCGTGTCCGTCGAGCGCGTTCATGGTAGGTCGCAACCGCAAATCGGTCTAGGCACCCCCAGGAGGCCCATACGATCGGTATAGCCGGCACATGGCGTTGCTTGCGTAGCACGATGGCACCGCAATACCCTTTTTCTGCACCGCGAAACCGCCAGAATTTAGGCCCCGCCGAACTCTAAAGGCACCCTAGATTTGCCGCAATTCGGAGGCGGACCGCAGTAATCCGGATTATCATGGAGGTTTGATGTGATTCGCGATCCTCGGCTGTTGTAGTACTCTTTGTGGTGCTCTCCCCTGCCGGGAACCATCGCGTGGGGATGGTGAACTCGAACGAGGCATTTCGATGTTGGTAATCCGGTTGGCAGTAGTGTTTTGGGTGGCGTTTGCGACGTCCTTCGCTCAGGCCCAGGGCGACATCATTTCTCAACGTGTCGCTTCGCGGCATGGGCTGCACCTTGCCTGGTACGCCCACGTGGAAATGGATCCGGCGCGCGACGAGATTATGCACGCCAACCTCAGCGGCGATATGCTATTCGTGCAAACCAAGCGGGGCATGATTCAGGCGCTGAATGCCGAAACCGGGGAGACGATTTGGGCGGAACGTGTCGGAGAGCGGCATTTGCCGACCACCGCGCTCGGTGGCAACCAAGAGTATGCGGCTGTCACGAACGGGTTGACCTTGTATGTCCTCGACCTAAATATCGGGCAAGAAGTGTGGCATCGCGATTTGGGATTCCTCCCCAGTGCGGGCCCGGTGCTCAGCGACGAGCGCGTGTACGTTTGCTGCATGAACGGACTCGTGGTCTCGTACAACCTCGATGACCCAGAGCTGCTTGCAAAGCGGTTCTCGACGACCGGTGTGGTCTACACCCAACCGACCGTTAGTTCACGGAGCATTGTTTGCGGCACGAGCGAGGGATTCGTGTACGGTTGGATTCCCAACGAAACCGAGCTAGCCTTTCAACTGCAAACTGGCGATGAAGTGACGGCTCGCATTGGGGCATTTGGTGATTATCTGTACGCTGGTTCGCGGGATGGGTTTGTCTTTTCGCTGGATAACCGTACCGGCTTGGAGCAATGGCAGTTCTCGACGGGGGCTCCTGTGGACGACGGCCCCATGCCAACGGAAAATCACGTTTATACGGTTCCGGAGCTGGGAGGCATGTTCTGCCTCGACCGGACAACTGGAATCGACAAGTGGTGGGCCCAGGGCGTTCATCGCTTTGTTTCTGCGAGTCCCACTCGGGTTTATGCGATGGACCGCGTTGGTCGGTTGGCCGTTCTGGATGTTGCCACGGGTGCTCGTCTCGATCTGGTTCCGACAGGACACTTGAAGCTGAGCATTTCGAACCCGTTGAACGATCGCATTTACCTGGGGTCGCCCGGTGGCGTGCTGGTGTGTTTGCGAGAACAGGGGCTGGCCGAACCGGTGGTTCACCGTGCTCCCGAGTCGGACCAGGCAGATGCCGGAGATCCAGCAACCGATGACGGGGCTACTGCGGATCCTGGTGCAGACACGGACTTTTAGTGAGTCAAACGGATCGCGAATAGTTGCGTGTAACGCCCCATACCGGACCGCGCTTCGTATCTCTCAGCCCTCGGTCTAGCCGATTCGCAGCTTCGGCTTGCGAACTGTGCATGACCTTCGCGTAGCACCTCTGCGGTGCCATCGTTAAGATGGGGCCCTCAAGCTGCATTGTCGCGCGAACGCTGCGCCGCGGCTCTCTTGTGCATCACGTTGGTACCTGCCGTATGAGTTTATCGGAACAAACTGGCAACCAGATTGTCGGCCGAAACGCGAGCGAGTTAGCCGCGCACGTGGCCAACGGTGAGCTCTCTGCAGTGGAAGTTCTAGAAGCGCATCTCGAGCGGATCGAGGCCGTGAATCCCCGGCTGAACGCCATTGTGGTTCCACTGTATGACGAGGCTCGCCAAGCCGCCCAGCAGGCCGACTCGGCTCGGCAACGGGGCGAAACACTTGGCCCGCTGCACGGGGTTCCGGTCACCATCAAGGAATGTCTCGATGTCGCGGGCACCGCTTCGAGCTTAGGTGTGGACCAACTCACGAAGCGGATTGCTAAGGTCGACGGACCATTGGTCGCTCGCCTGCGAAAGGCCGGAGCCTTGTTGGTGGGCAAGACAAACCTTCCACAGTTGGCCATGTACCTGGAGACCGATGGCCCGCTGTTCGGTCGTTGCAACAATCCGTGGAACCTGGAGCGAAGCCCTGGAGGCAGCAGCGGCGGAGAGGCCGCGATTCTGGCCGCCGGCGGATCGGCACTGGGTCTGGCCACCGATGCAGGCGGGAGCATCCGCCAGCCCTCGCACTGTTGCGGCGTGTTCGGGCTCAAACCCACTTCGGGGCGACTCACCCAGACTGATCTCCCGGTCACCACGGTTACGGCCGGATCGACTTGGATGCCGAACAATCTCGCAGGGCTGCAGGCGATTCTTCAGCCGGGTCCGATGGCGCGATGCGTGGACGACTTGAACCTGGCCATGCAGGTGCTGGCCGCTCCCGGGCTGCAAGATACCGATCCCACAGTGCCGCCGATGTCCTGGCCCGATATGAATCAGGTGGAAGTCGAGAAGCTCCGGATTGGCTTTTACACCGACGATGGCGTATTCGCGGTGTCGCCATCCATCCGCAGGGCCGTAAGCGAGGCGGTCGATGGCTTACGCTCGGCTGGAGTAGCGGTGGAAGAGTTTTCGCCACCCGATGTTCAAGATGCGATGCAGGTGTTCCGCAGCCTGATCTTTCCTGATGGTGGTGCGGCGTTCAAACGAATGCTGGGTTCGGCCGAGTTGGATAGCCGGCTGAAGCAATCGATTTCGGCCTCGGCGATGCCGGAGGTGATCCGCCCGTTGGTGGCATGGGGTCTCGACGTTGCGGGCCAGCCGCGACTGGCCGACTCGCTGCGCAGCCTACGACGGCTTTCGGCCGATGGATTCCGCAAACGCGTTGCCCAACGTATGACTTACTGCACGAAGTTTCTCGACGCGATGGAGCGGCAGCAACTCGATGCGATCGTCTGCCCGGCGTTTCCGGTTCCGGCTCCTCAGCACGGTGCCGGTGGGGCGATGGGGATGATGACCAGCTACACGGCGCTCTACAATCTGCTCGGACTGCCCACGGGTGCCGTTCCGTTTTCACGGGTGCGAACGGGCGAAACTTCCGATCGTCCCGATTCGCGGTGCCACGTCGAGCAAGCCGCACGGAAGATCGAGTCGGGCAGTGAAGGCTTGCCAATCGCCGTGCAAGTGGTGGGACGTCACTGGCGCGAAGACGTTGTCCTGGCCGTGATGAAATGCTTGGAAACGGTTGCACGAACTCGAGATGACTTTCCTGCCAACCCTCCGCTGACTTAGACGAATTGAACTGAGCGAGCCGACGATGCCGAACTCCCCCGACAACTCGCCCATGGCTTCCAATTCAACATCGACCGCCGACTCCACCTCCGAAGCATTAACCAACTTGACCGCGTCGGAGTTGGCCCGGCGGATTGCGGCCCAGGAAGTCACGAGTCGTGAAGTGGTCGAAGCTCACATTCGACGCATCGAGCGGGTAAATCCTCAGCTAAATGCGGTATGCGTCCCGCGGTTTGATGAAGCCCGCAGGGAAGCTGCCGCGGCCGATGAGCGCGTGGCGGCTGGCGAACCACTGGGGGCGTTGCACGGGGTGCCGATTACCGTAAAGGAGTGTTTTCATCTCACCGGAACGGCAGCCTCGATTGGGGTGCAGCGATTTACCGATGAGATCCACACCCGCGATGCCCTGATGGTCGCCCGACTGAGGGCCGCTGGGGCTGTGGTGCTTGGGAAGACGAACATCCCACAGTTGATGGTGATGCACGAGACGGACAATCCGGTGTTCGGTCGCACCAACAACCCTTGGGATCTCTCGCGGGGTCCCGGTGGAAGCAGCGGAGGCGAGGCGGCCATTATCGCAGCCCACGGTTCTCCATTGGGCCTGGGGAACGATCTCGGTGGAAGCATTCGCGTGCCGGCTCATTTCTGCGGCATTCACGGCATTAAACCGACCACGGGCCGGCTCTCGAACGACGGCACCCGGGCGGGTTGGAATGGGATGGAGGCAATCGGCAACCAGCCAGGCCCGCTTGCACGAAGTGTTGAAGACCTGGAGTTGGCGATGAAGATTCTCGCCGCGCCCGGACAAGAAGAATTCGATCACGTCGTGCCCCCGGTTGCCTGGCGCGACCCAGGTGAAGTTCAGGTCGAGCAGCTGCGGATTGGATTTTGGAAGGACGATGGATTTTGTGCGGAGTCGCCTGCGCTGCGTCGGGCCGTGGATGAATCTGTTGCGGGTTTATCGAGCCAGGGGGTCGAGGTCGTGGAGTTCACTCCGCCGGATATTCGCGAAGCGATGCGGCAGTACTTTGCGATCGTAAGCGCCGATGGAACGGCCGACTCGAGAAGGCTCCTAGGAAAGAGTGCCCGGGATTGGCGCGTGGGACGGCTGATGATGTTGGGCGGGATTCCTGGTTTCTTACGGGATGGTATTTCGGGGTTGATGAACGTTGTTGGGCAGCGAAATCTCGGCTGGCTGATCGGACACACCGGCTCGGTATCTGCGGATGTCTATTGGCAGCTCACCAAGCAACGGGAGCAATACACGCGAACCTTTCTACAGCAACTTCACGATCAGCGGCTCCATGCGGTTATTTGCCCGCCCTTCGCTTTGCCTGCCTTGAAGCATGGGGCGACCGACTACCTGGTCACCGCGGCTAGCTATGCCATGTTGTTCAATTTGTTGAATGTGCCCGCCGGTGTGGTCTCGGTTACACAAGTTGCCGCGGGCGAAGAGAGCGACCGGATACGCTCAAGCGATATGTCTGACCGTCGGGCTGTGGAAGTCGAAGAAGGTTCCGCGGGGCTCCCCGTCGGCGTTCAGGTAGCGGCTCCACATTGGCGGGAAGATATTGTTCTCGCCATCATGCGTAGCCTGGAAGCTCATTTCGCCGGCAAGCCCAACTTCCCCATCACAGCCGGACCATCGCTGTGACGCTTAGTTCTAAATGACAACCACGGGCGATTGATTGGCTGACTAACGAACGATACAATCGAGCATGCAGTTGAGACTGAATCTCAGGAAGGAATCGCCGCCGTGGTGATTTCCGCTCATTCGCCACCCCCGACGGCAGAACCCATGCACGACTTGATTCCGCTGCGCTGTCTGTTCGCCGGGCAAACGGGCCTCGTCGAAGAGATTGTGGGGAATTCCGACGATGTGCAGCGTCTGCATGAGATGGGTCTCTGTCGCGGAGCATCGGTCGAAATGATCCAGCCGGGCTCGCCGTGTGTGATTCGTATCGGCGGGAACAAGCTTTGTTTTCGGCACGACGAGTTGATGAGCGTGCTGGTCCGTGCTGGAGCCCTGGCATGAAGAAGCTTTCGGAATTCGCCGTGGGGCAACGTGGTCGCGTGGATCGGATTAACGACCAAGGCTCGGTGGGGACCCGATTGTTAGAGATGGGGCTTACCCCCGGGGTGGAACTGGAACTGGTTGGCACGGCCCCGTTCGGCGACCCCATGGAGTTCGATCTCCGCGGCTATCGGCTCTCGCTACGTAAGAGCGAGGCTGAATGCGTGGATGTCTCAATGCTTTAGTACCCGCTGCAAGGTGCCTCCGAGCACCGTAGCGTTTGAGTTCCTGTCGACACCGACGTGAACTCACCTGAGAACCATTGCGGAGCCCACAGGCTGCCGCGAACAAACATCCCCCCTTTCACCCGTCTTCGGTCGCGTTCTTCCAAAGTAGATTCATGGCAACGCCCACCACCTCGAATGAGCCCCAGACCACCAGCGTCACGGTGGCGTTGATCGGCAACCCGAACGTTGGGAAGTCGACCCTGTTTAACGCACTGGCTGGAGTTCGGCAGCGCGTGGGCAATTACCCAGGCGTGACGGTCGACAAGAAGATCGGTCGCATGACGCTCGAAGGGCGGAGCTACTTGCTGGTCGATCTGCCGGGCACCTACAGTCTTGCACCCCGCTCTCCGGATGAGATGGTGGCGGTTGACGTGCTGCTTGGTCGGCGTGACGACGTAGCGGCCCCCGATGCAGTGATCTGCATCGTTGACGCCAGCAACCTGGAACGAAACCTGTACCTGGTGAGCCAGGTGTTTGAACTGGGACTGCCGACCGTGCTGGCCGTGAACATGATCGACGTGGCGCGGCAGCGTGGGCTGGAAACCGACTTAGAATCGCTCGAATCTCGGCTGGGGGTTCCGGTGGTTGCCATGCAGGCCAACCGTCGGCAGGGAATCAAGCAACTGGGGGAGGCCCTCACACGTGCGGTAGGTGCTCCACCTCGTTCGGCTGAGAGCCCTTTGCCAGAAGCGTTTTGCAACGAGGTAAAGCAACTGGAAACCTCGCTGGCGAGTGGTCAGAACAACGGGGCTCCGGTCCCCCGGTATCTCGTCGAGCGGCTGTTGGTCGACTCCGGCGGATACATCGAAACTGCGTTGCTGCGGAAGATGCCGGATGCGAAGTCGCGGGAGACTCTGCTTCGCGATGTGGAAAGCGCTCGCGAGCGGCTACGTGAAGCTGGTCATCCGGTGCCGGCGGTCGAACCGATCTCGCGTTATCGCTGGATTGCCGGCGTTCTCGATGGGGTGGTGCGACGCCCGGAGAAAGCGCCCAAGACAATCAGCGACCGCATCGATCGGGTGCTGATTCATCGGTTTTGGGGCCTAGTGGTGTTCGCCGCCCTGATGATCGTGGTATTTCAATCGGTCTTTGCTTGGGCCACGTACCCAATGGATTGGATTGACGCCACGACGGGGGCGATTGCCGAGACCTTCGAAGGCTTGATGGACGAAGGTCCGCTGCGAAGCCTGATCGTTGAAGGGGTCATCGCTGGAGTCGGCGGCGTGTTGATCTTTTTGCCGCAAATTTTTGTGCTGTTCTTTTTTTTGGCAGTGCTTGAAGACTGCGGGTACATGGCCCGAGCGGCTTACTTGATGGACCGGCTGCTGGTGCCGGTTGGGCTGAGCGGAAAATCGTTCGTGCCTTTGCTCTCCTCGTTCGCCTGTGCCATTCCGGGCATCATGGCCACGCGGATCATCGAGGATCGTCGCGACCGCTTGACGACTATCTTGATTGCCCCGTTAATGAGCTGCAGTGCCCGCCTGCCGGTATACACCGTGCTGATTGCGGCCTTCATCCCGAGCGAATATCTGTTCGGCACCTGGTTAGGGCTGCAGGGCCTGACGATGGCGGCCATGTATGTGGTGGGGATTATTGCGGCCATTTTCGTGGCGCTCATTCTCAAGCGCACGATCTTGCGAGGCCCCACGCCACCGTTGGTGATGGAGTTGCCTGCGTATAAGTGGCCTTCGCCTTCAAATGTGTTGCACCGTATGTTCGAGCGGGGCTGGGCGTTTGTGCGTCGCGCTGGAACGCTGATTGTGGCCGTCTCGGTCATCGTCTGGGCATCGCTTTACTACCCTCATAATTCTGAGGTCGTCGAGGCCCCCTTTGCGGCCGAACAACAAGCGTTAGAAGCTGAATTGGCGACGGTCGACGAAAATTCTCCCGAGTGGGAAGAGCTTGAAGCTCAACAAGTCGAGCTGCAGAACCGCATCGATTCGGCCTACGTACGACAGAGTGTGCTGGGACGTATGGGCCAATGGATCGAACCGGTGGTGAAACCACTGGGATGGGACTGGCGGATCGGCTGTGCTGCGATTGCGTCGTTCCCGGCTCGCGAGGTGGTGATCGCCACGCTTGGAATCATTTATGAACTGGGCGGCGAAGTGGACTTGGACGACGAAGAGTCGCAAACGCGGTTAACTTCGGCTCTGCGGAACGCCACCTGGGACGGGACCGACCGCAAGGTGTTCAACATTCCAGTGGCACTCTCGCTGATGGTCTTCTTCGCACTTTGTGCTCAGTGTGCCGCAACGTTGGTGGTGATGCGGCGCGAGACCCAAAGCTGGCGATGGCCTGTGTTCACGTTCGTCTACATGACTACACTGGCATATGTGGCTGCCCTGGTTACCTACCAGGTGGGCATCCGCCTGATTTCCTGACACTTACTTGTCACCGCTTAGGTGCAAGGCAGATCCGACATGACTGCAATGTGGCAAGAAATAGCGACCGCCGCCATCGTTGGCTTGGCCTGCGTTTACTTGGCCCGTAAATGGTTTTGGACCAAGGGCGGGGCGTCTGCAGGTTGTTCCACGTGCTCGTCGTGCTCGAGCGCAGGCGAGAAACCGATGATTCCGATCGATTCGCTGCAGCTTCGCCCCAAGACGCGTGATGGAAATCACGGCGCAAGTGGAGCGTAGGAAGCGAGCGAGGAATCAAACGGGACAGAGCTTCCGGCCGTCTTACTGGTTGGCCGGAAGGATCTGGGCGTGGGCCACGATCTCGGGTGAGTAACCACTCTCGAGGTCAGTCTTCAGCCGGATCTTGGCCGAGACTTTGCCAGGCTTGTCACCGGCGACAAATGTCACAGGCACCAAGTGCAGCGGCTTCGAGGCTTCTGAGAGTTCGAAGTTGAAGCAGTCGTCACCGCAGTCGATGTTCGTGATGCGGAACGGGGCCGTGCCACGAACGATGAGCTTCTTGGTGATCGTCTGTCCGGGATGAACCGAGCCCAATAGCAGCGGCGTGGGGCTGACGGTCACTTCGGAAAGAACGCGTCCTTCGACGGTGACGGGCATTTCGACCCCGCGGCTGTCGTTGGTTCGCAGCATCAACTCGTCGCGAATGATGCCTTGAGGAGCATCTGACTTCAATCGCACGGCCAGGTCGTAGCTCTTACGCCCGTAGGAGTTGGGCACCTCGACGAGGCTGGTTTCTAGGTAGGGATTATTGTTCACCACGTCGAGCACTTTCCAGTCGCCGTAGCCCGAGTAGTCGATACGCAAATGCTTCTCTACCGGCGAGCCGGCACCCACAGTACCCAGATCGATACTCTCGGGCTGCAGGAGAATGTCATCGCGGATGAAGCCCCGCACGTTCAGTTGGACTTCAGCGTAGTAGGGCTTGTCGATCACCACGGTCAATGTGGCCGATCGCTGTCCCTGAAAGGTGCGAGTGTTGAAGGCAGCGATGATGGCGCCTTCTTCGTAGGTCTTCAGCGTGTCGTGAGTAACACGGGGCGTAGTGCAGCCACAGCTCGAGCGGACATGCGAGACGTGAATGTCCTCTTCATAGATGTTCTTAAAGGTGAAGGGGAATTCGACCTTCCCCCCGCGGGCGACCACACCGAAGTCGTGGTCATGCGTTTCGAACATCTTGCGGGCCCACTCTTGTGCCGCGACAACGTTGCAACTCAAGACAGCTAAACAGACGGCGACAAAAGCACTTCGCAGCACGATGAATTCTCCGCGGTGCCCCCACGTTCCAGCGTACCCCGTTCAAAAGCTATCAACACCCTGCCGCGGGTGGGCCAGTGCGTTGCTTCTGAGTGAGGGGCCGCGAACTGTACGGCTTACCTACGTATTGTGTCAACTTGTTCCCAAAGATGAAAGACTTAACTCCAAAGCGATCATTCGGCCGCACCCTGCTAGCAACTGCAATAAGTCCTGCTATGCATTGAAGATCGGCACGATCGTCCCCCCGTGAACGACTGCGATTAGACGATCGACCGGCGCATTCGCAACCGCAGCCCACCCTACCGTAGGCACCGTTCTCAATTACGCTGGAAACCTCACAATCGTTCTCGAAATAAGAGCCGCCACAACTGCGCATTAGCGGGGAACAGAGGGTTTCGTTTCCCCGGCCGGGGTCGTTGGATACCATGTTGCAGGCGGACTCTTGTGCCGTACTTACCTGAATTACCTAATCGTGGAGTCTTTCGATGGCGTGGTGCAGTGAAGCAGGGGCGACTGGAACTCGATTTGGCTGGCTGACTGTGCTGCTGGCGACGCTGATTTTCATCGTCGGGTTTAGCGGCAGTGATTTCGGCCCAACGGTCGTGCATGCCGATGAGCCTGCAGGGCGGGAGAATTCCGACGAAGCCGCTGCTGACACCACAGCCGAGGAGGGCGAGGATCCTCAGGCGATTGAGCATCCTTTCCCTCGTCGGATGGAAGCCCCGCCGCTGGATGGAGCTGTGGCGTGGATCAACACGGCCGGGCCGATTGATCTTGAGGACCTTCGCGGCAAGTTCGTAGTGCTCGACTTCTGGACCTACTGCTGCATCAACTGCATGCACGTATTGCCCGAGTTGAAGAAGCTGGAGAAGGCGTACCCGAATGAAGTCGTGGTGATTGGCGTGCACTCGGCCAAGTTCGAAACCGAACAAGACACCGACAACATCCGCGAGGCGGTACTGCGGTATGAGATCGAGCACCCGGTGGTGAACGATTCGAACCACGCGGTGTGGACCGACTACATGTGCCGCAGTTGGCCCAGCCTGCGGGTGATCGACCCTGAAGGGTTCCTGGTGGCTGGCAACAGCGGCGAAATCGAGTTCGAAGCACTCGATGCGTTCTTCAAGCGAGCGATTCCATACTATCGGGCCGAAGGCCTGCTCGATGAATCGCCGGTTCGATTCGACTTGGAACGCCACCGTGTGGAAGACACCCCACTGCAGTTCCCGGGGAAGATCTTGGCCGACGAGGAGAACGATCGACTGTTCATCGCCGACAGCAATCACAACCGCATCGTGATTGCGCGAACCAACGGCTCGCTGATCGATATTATCGGCACCGGTGAGATTGGGGCCACCGACGGCGACTTCGATACGGCCACGTTTGATCATCCGCAGGGCATGGTTCTCAACGGCGACATGCTTTACGTGGCCGACACCGAGAATCATCTGCTACGGAAGGTGGATCTCGCCTCCCAAAAAGTAAGCACGATTGCCGGCGTGGGCTCGCAGGGCCGCAATGCCTGGCCGGGGTTGGATCGCAATCCGCTGGGCACTCCAACACTGCCCGACCGTTTTGTCGGACCTCCTCGGACCACACCGATCAACAGCCCTTGGGCGTTGTGGATCCACGGCGACGATCTGTTCATCGCCATGGCGGGACCTCATCAGATTTGGAAGATGCCGCTGGACGAATCAGAAATCGGTCCCTACGCCGGCAACGGAAGGGAAGACATCGTCGATGGTCCGCTGCTGCCGAAGGAGCCTTACGCCCAGGGGTTCTCGTCGTTCGCTCAGCCTTCGGGTTTGGCCTCCGACGGAACTTCACTGTTCGTGGCCGACAGTGAGGGCAGTTCGATTCGCGCTGTTCCGCTCGATGGTAATGGGGAGGTGTCGACCGTCGTTGGCACATCGCACTTGGGAGGCGGTCGCTTGTTTACGTTCGGCGATGTCGATGGGCAAGGCGAGGAAGTACGACTGCAACATGCCCTGGGGGTGGTCTACGACGATGGCGTGATTTACCTGGCTGACACGTACAACAACAAAATCAAGAAACTGGACGTGGCGTCGAAGACGGTCACCACGATTGCCGGCACGGGTGAACCGGGGCAGAGTGATGAACCGGCGAAGTTCGACGAGCCAGCGGGAATCACACTTGCGGCCGGGAAACTGTACGTGGCCGACACCAACAACCACGCAATTCGAGTTGTCAACTTAGAGGACAACAGCGTGAGTACACTGACCATCGAGGGACTTGAACCGCCGGCCAAGCCGAAAGCGAAGCAGCCGGCGAACTTCCCGAACGCTACTACGGTCGACGTCGAAGCGACAAAAGTCCGCCCCACAGACGATGGAGTTTCGCTGACTGTCGAACTGGTCGTTCCCGAGGGTTACAAACTCAACCCCATGGCACCGATGGGATACCTCGTTCGCTCAACCGGAGACGATGGACCGCTCAACTCTGAGTCGTTGAACGCTTGGACGAAGCTGGCTGAGCCGAAGCCTTCGTTCGATATTCGTTTGCCTTTAGCGGCGGACGCAGGCGAGACGACTCTCGAAGTTGCCCTGACCTATTACTACTGTCGGGAAGGCAGTGAAGGGCTTTGCAAAGTTGGCAGTGTGATTTGGAAGATTCCGGTCAACGTTGCCGACAATGCATCTGCGAGCAGCATCCCGCTTCGCTTTGAAATCCCCACCGAGACAGAGGTGGCGGATTCTCCCGGGCTGAAGCTGGAATAAGAGGGCCTACAGCATCGGGGGGAATTCGATGCCGTATCGTTGGGTCATTCGCTGCTGGAGTTGGCGGCCCTGTTGATTCAACCGCTGTACGGTTTCGTAGTGGGCCTTTTCCGATTCCTTCCAATTGCGGCCCGCGGCTCCTCGGCGTTGCTCGGGCGAAGCTTCGGTAAGCAGGTGCATGGCGTCTTGATTGATCTCGGTGCCCTCTTCGTACCAATCAACCAGACGTTGCACGTGCGCGACGACCTCTGGGTCGACATTGTGATGGCGTAGCCCATGAAGTGCGGTGGCTGCGTAGCGGTACGCTCGCAGTCGCGAGGAAACGAACCCTCCGGCGTTTCCGGCGTTCACGTCCGAAGGTGCGGAACGCATCTCGCCCTCGCGGGCAATGACGGAGTTCACCTGGTTCCAGTAGTCGAGCGTTGCTTCACCGCGTGCGGCCTTTTTGGAGTTCGACTTACGAGTGGGCTTCCGGGCTGGCGCCTGACCGAGGACCGATTGGGGTTTCGTGCCTGAAAGCGGCTTCGACGCTTGGGTCGAACTCGGATGAGCCGAGTTCTGTTGCGACTGTTGCAGTTGTTGCTGCAGGACTGCCACCTGGGCGTTGATATCGACACCGGAGAGATCGGTACCCTCGGGCGGTGTGGGGATCATGCCGCGTTCGGCCATTTGATCGAGCACAACGCCGGTGGTCTTTGCCAGGACGGCATCCAGGAGTTCCTCGGGCCGGTGCCCCATGGCCATGAGCCCTACGACGGCCCCTCCGATGAACAGCACCCAGCAACCCAGTACCTTCAGTCCCGCACTTCCGCGTCGCTGTACGCGCATTTGCCCAATTCCCCCTCACTGTCGATGTGGCCCGTCTTCGAAACTCTAGCTTGCCTGTCGACATCGCCCGAGGTGTTACGGCTTAGGCCTGCAATCGAGAATCGGGATAACCCGTGGAGGCCAGACGACCGGTATGGCGAC